GGACAAGGCCGCACTGGACGAGTACACCAAACAGTACGACATCGAGAGCAGACCGAGAGCGACAGCGGCTCGTCGACAGCGCCCGCTACCTGGAGGTGGGTCCAGGACGGTCGGATTGAACGAACATGGCGGCCGTCACGCGTGATAGAGCTGGGCGGGCGGGGTGCAGCAGCGTTGTAGTTTCTTGTGTCACTATAAATATTCAAGCGTTTAACGATGAGATGGTAGGTTGTAGAACCTTACTTTGTCTTTATTCATTTGGAGTGTGTTGCGATGTTAGTACAATTCTTTGATCAAAATGCTTTGTTGACACGTCTTTTCTGTATCTTGTCATTGCAAACAGCTCAACATTATCTATGTGGACGTCTGAGCTTCAGTTCAGCATTTTTTTCCGTGGTCTTCGCTGTACTTCCTCGTCGCGTCCTTCCCTACTGCCGTCCTGCTTTCCTGCAGCGCTTTGTGGTGTTTTGTTTCTAGATCACTCAGTACGAAACCAAAACGTGAGGGGTAAACCCTGGTGGCCCGAAGGAGGAAGATGTCATTGATTGATCGAATCGGTCGCGGCTCCTATAGTCGTAAATCGGGAATTCCGTAGGTAAACACGCGCTGGACGAGGGCCCAATTCAGAGGCCGTTAGGGACCATTGTGCTCTACAGTTGATACAGGTGTTGAAGGTCGTTTGTTTCTGTCTTTGGTTGTAGCCCTGAGCTCATGGCGTCATCTGGTGGTCAGATTGGGTAATATTTGCCTTGTTGGGCTCTACATTGCCTCTAACAGTGGAACAAGCTCAACTACTCGTTAGCAGTGTAAGACCGGCCAAGCGCCCGTCCGGTTCATTTATGATGTCCTGCAGAGGTTCATGACATAAACCTACAACATGTCATGAGCGTGAACGCGTCGGGGAAGAAAGACAAGATGACTTGATTTTCCGGCATTGTCAGTCGTTCAGTTCTCGATTCGACGCACTACAACCAAGATTTGGTCTGGCGCATTCATGGCAGGTGTATTTTGTATCAGTTTTATTGGTGTGATAACGAAGTCGTCTGACAACATCCTTGCTCAATGCTCATGGTACTGTCGATGTGTTTTGAGCCTCCGCAGCTGATCCACTACTTGAAGTTTGCTTATTGCTTTATTTGAATCGTCATTCCCATTTTATTTTTATATTTGATTTTCCAGTGTCGTTATTGCATTTGCCTGCTGGTAGCCCATTCACCAATCAACTGCTACCTCAAGTGCTACCGTACTGTTCTGAGCCTCGCGGATCATTTTCAGGGACTGCGGCAGCAATTTGTGGAGAAGGACCTTCAGAAGGAGAGCGAGTTCCAAAAGTTCCTCAAGGAGAAGGCTGTCATTGATGAGGTCGTGCGGCAGATTGAAGAGGAGGACAAGCGGTAAGTACCGCTGCAACTGATAAATGACCTTCCAGTCGGCGCGCCCCTAACCCCCAACAAACAAACAAACAAACAAACAAACAAACAAGCAAACAATGATACGAATGCTGTTGGAACGTGTTAACATTGCTGATCTCAACAGGATAATGGGCATGTCAGAACTCTGGACTGCGCAGAGCGTTTGTGATGGAGTGGGATTGGGTAGTAAACACGAAGACGAATTTTGTGACGATGAGTGGGCATCAACCTCGACTTCATTTTCAGAGGTGGTATATTTTATTGTAACAACAATACTCATATTTCCTGAATGATTGATATCCATGAATCATGAATCGTTGCAGCCGATGGATCGCCTCTCTGTTGCCACATGAGACGTTGCGACATCGGTTTTTAACATCAGACCGGATGTTGCGACATCTGGCGTTCACATTATAAAGAGACATGAGCAATGACCATGGTGAGACATCTGAGGAAGCGGTTTAATGTATCATTGGGCGATTCGATGTAGCTCATTAATTAGTATTCTTTTTCTGAACATTTTGATATGACTCAGTCTGTGTGACCCCGTGCTTTTGTCAAAAGTCTGGGATATCCATCGAATTGGCCGTGGTCTCTGTTTCGATAATTATAGAGTGGGCGTAAAGTTTTCCATTCGATTGATGAGTTCCTGGTGCCCAGTTTTCTCCTTCCCGGACTTCAGTAACCGTGAGGAAACTCGAATGAAAGCGCACTTTTTATGTCGCTGATGTCTAATTCGCACTTCCCGTTTTCCAGCTAACCAAGTTTGTTTCGTTGTGAATCACATGTACTCTCTTATTATTCGTATGCTGCTTTCCATAAGATATCTTCTTAACGCAGAACTGGAATACCTACTTTTATGCTTTTTAGTCATATTCATGTGCTATTCTTTACCCTATAACTGTCCGCAAGTGCAGCTAACTCTGCTCTAAGATGATACAGACGACCTCCGTTGCCATGCCATCCATGCCTGTTGTATGTTGCGTCATTGTCTAATATCCTCTCGTCCCGACTTCTTTGATAGCATCTTGGAAGAAATCCCAGACTAACAGTTAAGCTGGATAATTTACTTTGATTTGACGTCTCCGGGACATTCCTATCCGCATTGTACTATCCTTTTCAGTTGGAGACCTAGTTTGGCATACTTCGGCCGTGTGCTCCTACCTTATATTATTTTACCCAATAGAATGATTTCTATAACACATGTCAATCAGACGCAGGCTAGCATTGTCTGTTCCCTGCTTGGACAGTTTTAAATATCTAACCTTCTTCGAAATCATCTTGCATCGGACAAAAGAACAGCTCTCTATATAGTCAGACAAGATCAACCGGCACCTAAATCACTACGAACATCTGCGCATGGATCTCTGCCCAAGCGTCCTAGCAACCAACCGCCTAAATGACCGACCCACCGACCCACGGGTGATAGCCCCGCTGATGTGAGGTCCTGAGCGGCCACGCGCGGCCAGTCTGCGGTACACTGATGGTTTAGGAGGTCCGCATTCCTCCGTCTCAGTCCTCCGTCACGCGGCAGCCCGGCGGAGTCGACCGTAGAACGTCGTACCCCGATACTCCCCAGCTGAAGCAGCAGTGCCCGCCGCTGGGGTGGTCTCGGGAACGGTTTGTCGGAGCTCTGTAAGCCGCGGGCGACATGAAAACTGCTCCGCCGTGCGGGCAAAACTGTCAGATGGGTGTCACGTCGACAACGCGCTTAGCAGCTCTGAGCGCTGTGGAGCGGCTTGGGGCCGTTTCTGGAAGTTGAGATCACTCCGGGGATGGGGAGAAATGGCAGCTCTGTCGAGAGGATAGATCCGTGGCAGGGAGTGACTGGGTTTGGTCGTGTGGTGATCGTTCCGGAAAATTGCTGTGTGATTTCACGGAACTGTTGGACTCGGAATCTGAAATATATTTCATGTAATAGTAACGAAGCAGGAAGGAAAGCCCAGTCCAGCATCTTCCGAACCTGGCACAAAAGCAGATACAAACGCAGTTAATAAAATGAAAAGGTACGTGTTTGACTCGTAATTACTCGAGGTGTTAAAATCCCATCGAGAGTTTGATTCCATTCGAAAATAACTTTTCTTTACCTTTTTGCACATGTTTTCAACCTTCTAATTCCTCTATAGTTAAGTTTATGAATCATTAATCACATGCCTGAACTCCCGAGACAGGCGAAATATAGTAATGAGCGTCAACGAGACCTATGGCTGTTGGTGCTGGAAATTCTGTGCAGGTGGCGCTGTACATTCGGGTGCAGGTGTCGCGTCTATGCCTGGTCGCATGCTTCAGACCGATTTGGCGGAGATCAGTGATATTGTTTTACATTCAATATCGAACGAGCCATCAGACGCTCACATTCACAGCAATTGTGGCATGGAAAAGTTAAATATCTATCTGAATGCATATGTAATGGGAACAGCTGTGCCCGTTCGATAATGAACATCTAATTAGCATGAGATATAGCTGATACCACACAAGACCGAAATCGTACCTCTGAAGTGGGCAGAACAAAGCTGCTGCGTTTAGGATCACACCTACACGAGCGGATCAATCCTTTCGAGAATGGAAGGAGGATGCCATCGGTCAGGAAATTCCTTTGTCGCCCGGCTTTTTATACCGCGAACAAAGCGGTCTCGGGGATTAGCAGCCCATGGTTATCGTGTGTTGCCATCTGCTGTGGGCAGACGGCGCTACCCACACGGCCAGACAGTGCGACAGACGCTCCCCCGTTATAGGGACACGTCGTGTCGGCTTGGGTGGTGGGTTTGGGTGGAGATGACACCTCTCGGGCGGATTGACTGACTGATGTGATGCGGCTTATACGCGCCATCCAACGCAGTGACAGTGCCGTGTGAAGATGTTATAAAGTGATTCGTTGCCTGAACAGCCCGAGCTTTTTGGAAAATAAGGCAACGTGTAACAACATCAAGTCGCATATCACGAGCCTGTATTGCAGGCAAATGTTATACAGCTCTAATGACGCAGGTATCATCTTCCAAGCCGTCAAAGGCGACATTTCGCAGGCTGTTTAAAATTACAATATTACGACCTAAGTTCGTCATATGAATCCTGTTAAGGAAGTTTTCCTGGTCCACTATTACGTTGTTTGGCGCCTATCAGGCTCCTTAGACCCCGCGCCCCTAGTCGGCCATACCTAATAACATTTCATAATTCACATGTCTCCATCGGAGGACACCGTCCCATGAGTCATTCTCCAGTCATCACTGGACATCGTCGGTTCTTGGAGCGTCACACGACTGATATTCATTCGTGCAGCTCTCAAAATGCAGCGATCGCTCCCCGATTTCGCTACTGTCTTCCTGTATAAGGCGCGGCGCCTCGGCCACTCTATCTCTGGGCCGGCGCGGCCGCCCCTGATGGCCCAGGACGCGGCCATTCGGGCCGTCGTAAAATTCAAATAACAAACAAACTCTGAAAACGCCGGGCCGGTGGGTATGTATCGGCCTGACGGGCCCCTGGACTGGCGCCGCCTGACACTGAGATGCCCTGGCCGGCACCAGAGGTAGGAGGGACTTGCTGGAAATGCTCGGAGTGGTTCTGTGATTCGGTGCGGGGCTGTCTATGAGATGGGTGTGTCCGCCCTGTCCCCGCCGAAGGAGCGGGCGTCTCTGCCCCCGGGCCGGTCGGCCGGCCTTGGCTGGCTCCAGAGCACGTGCAGAATGTCTCCTCACGGCGGACGTGAAGCCGTATTGATGGCGCCGGTCAGTGTCACGTGATGGATTTGTGGCGAGAGCCGTGGCCGATCGGCGCGTCACGTGACACACGTGTTCCGTAATTGGCAGAGGGTCCATCTAGTGTCTCGTCTGTACCGATCTCATCCCGAATTGATGGCAGAAAACGCCGCGTAACGTCGAATATCATTGTATTTGTGAAACATGACACTATGAGAGCGCCGGACTCTACGCGGCCCGAATGGGTCATCGCGTGAGTGTCGACGCAGTCTCCCTGAATAGCGGCCGGCTAACTGCCAGGCCTCAGAAGTCAGTCACGCACCAGCGCGTAACTCACGCTCTGTCGCGCACATCACGACATACACGGGTGCCGCCAGCACCGAGCACGGCAGCGTAGCTATACACCAGCTGTGGTCTGAGTGACTATGGTAATCGCGCTGTGCGCCGGCGGCCCTCGTTAGAGGACGCACACCGGACGCTCCACGTGCGCGGAGAGACATTCGCATGATACACGCATACTAAACTCGCATGAGACACGCGAGATTCAGGTAGATACACGAAATACACACGCACAACAACAGACATAGCTATTAAATAGGACGCGCGCAGTTAAATACGGTTCACTGACCGGATCCCACCCGCTTGTGGTCCGCTCACGGACGCTGGTTGATCAGTCCTCCCGGTGCGGCCCCTCACGCCGCCGGCCGACACTGGCCCGTGAGCCGGTTGTGGCGCATGCCGTGCGGACAGCGGCGTGGGTGCAGCTCTCCGTACGTACTGCCGCCGTGGTGACACTCGCCGAGCGCGTCACGCCGTGAGCCGGGCCGGCACTTGAAGTGGGCGTAGCTATGCGGCGGCGCCAGCAGCACGTTCGCCGTGCAGGTCACCTGGCGTGTGTCGGGGTGGACCATGATCCGCGCGCCGGCGCCGAGCGCGGCGGTGGGCGCGGCCGACGGCGCCGGCTCGGGGGTCGGAGCGGCCGCCGAGACGGCCCTCCGCCTCCTCCGGTCGCGGTAGAGCGGGTTGCGGATCATCTTGCCGTCGTAGGTGTACTGAACCTCCGGCAGCATGGGCGCCGGCAGGCTGGACACACTCGGCTCCGAGGCCTGGCCGTGGAACGCCGGCAGGCTGAGCAGCTCCAGCAGGCCGCTGGAGGCGGACGGGGGCGGTGGCGGCACCAGCGAGCGGCGCGCCAGCAGCGCCTCGCTAACCGAGGCGGACGGAGCGCGCGGCCGCGTCACTGGCGGAGGAGGCAGGTGGACCGGCGGCGGCGGCGGACGGCGGTGGCGC